TTTCACATCAAAGTGAAGGAGAAAAGGTCAATAAACAGCAAGATTTTTCACATCAAAGTGAAGGAGAAAAGTCAATAAACAACAAGATTTTTCACATCAAAGTGAAGGAGAAAAGGTCAATAAACAGCAAGATTTTTCACATCAAAGTGAAGGAGAAAATGTCAATATACAGCAAGATTTTCACATAAAAGTGAAGGAGAAAATGTCAATAAACAGCAAGATTTTCACTTCAAAGTGAAGGAGAAAAGTCAATAAACAGCAAGATTTTTCACATCAAAGTGAAGGAGAAAAGGTCAATAAACAGCAAGATTTTTCACATAAAAGTGAAGGAGAAAATGTCAATAAACAGCAAGATTTTCACTTCAAAGTGAAGGAGAAAAGTCAATAAACAGCAAGATTTTTCACATCAAAGTGAAGGAGAAAAGGTCAATAAACAGCAAGATTTTTCACATCAAAGTGAAGGAGAAAATGTCAATATACAGCAAGATTTTCACATCAAAGTGAAGGAGAAAATGTCAATAAACAGCAAGATTTTTACATGAATGTAAGGTAAAAAATGTCAATATACAGCAAGATTCTCATATGAATGTAAGGTAAAAAATGTCAATATACAGTAAGATTTTCCCATGAATGTAAGGTAAATGTCAATATCTAGCAAGATATTAACAAAAGTGAGGTAAAAATGTCAATATGTAGCATTTTATATAGCATTTAGTTTTGAATTTGCTACAAACTGGTTCTTTGATTTTGTGTTGAAAGATATGTCATGAAAAAAATAATATCCACACCTATGTCCTACCAAGATCACTGGTGGAGGCTCTTCATCTTCATACATAGCTTGTAAAACATCTCCTATATCTCTGATGAAAAAATAAACAAATTTTAATCAAGAATACAATATTGAAGTATGTTTTCTCTAAACATCTTTATATTCATCTAATTCTAAGAAAAAGTATCAACTCTGTATCAGTGATATAAAATATATTTAAAAATCTAGATAGCCAACGTATTCATAATTTATTATTACAAAGCCCATACTTTGCAAGAGTTTCTGCAGAAAGATCTTCATCATTATTTGTAGTGGTTTCTCCTGAAATACAAAAGCAATAATTCAAAATTTTTTATTTTCTTCATTTTTGTGCCTTTAATGAGTAAAATTAATTTCTTTATTATTACAAGAAAATACCAAATCTTTTCTACCAGTTATGTCTATTGTTACCGTGTAGTAAACTTTAAGGTCAAACTTATGAAGTCATATTTACTCTTAAGACATAGTAAATTTAAAGTGAAAATGTGGTAAACCTGTGGTCAAAACTAATAAACTTGACATTAATAATGTGGTAAACCTGTGGTCAAAAATAATAAACTTGACATTAATAATGTGGTAAACCTGTGGTCAAAAATAATAAACTTGGCAATAATAATGTGGTAAACCTGTGGTCAAAACTAATAAACTTGACATTAATAATGTGGTAAACTTATGATCAAAAATAATAAACTTGACATTAATAATGTGGTAAACTTATGGTCAAAAATAATAAACTTGTAATAATAATGTGGTAAACCTGTGGTCAAAAACTAATAAACTTGACATTAATAATGTGGTAAACTTATGATCAAAAATAATAAACTTGACATTAATAATGTGGTAAACCTGTGGTCAAAACTAATAAACTTGACATTAATAATGTGGTAAACTTATGATACAAAATCAAAAATAATAAACTTGGCAATAATAATGTGGTAAACCTGTGGTCAAAACTAATAAACTTGACATTAATAATGTGGTAAACTTATGGTCAAAACTAATACACTTATTTCTTACTATAAAGTTTTTCACATGGAAAAAGTTGATTGGTGGTTTTGACCACAAGTCCATAATATATAATAAAAAATCCAGATAATGGATAGTTTTTGACCACAAGATAAAAATCAAGTTGACTGGATAACATTTGAGTTTATTAGTTTCAACCAAAAATTACCTCATGATAAGAAATGACTTTGCAGTTTTAACCATTAGTTAACCACCAGTCAACTAAATTCTTAATGTGTGATAGCTTTACACTCAATTCTTACAAAGTGTTTGATTTTTATAAAAATTACAAGTCAACTTGTTTCTACAAAGAGGATGACATCAGGTAGCTCAAAACTTACCAAGTAGTCCATTCTTGGTCTATAAATCAAGGCAACTTTTACATTAAAGGTAATAAGAAGCACCTTAGTTATTATGAGATGTCAGTACACTCACAGAGTTATTGTGAGGATGTCAGTATACTCACGAAGTTATTGTGAGGATGTCAGTACACTCACAGGGTTATTGTGAGGATGTCAGTACACTCACAGGGTTATTGTGAGGATGTCAGTACACTCACAGGGTTATTGTGAGGATGTCAGTATACTCACAGAGTTATTATGAGGATGTCAGTACACACACAGGGTTATTGTGAGGTGTCAGTACACTCACAGGGTTATTGTGAGGATGTCAGTACACTTACAGAATTATTGTGAGGATGTCAGTACAC